TGTATTTTTTTACCGTGTTATTCTTCGTTTAGCCTGTTACTCAACATCAGCATGTTAGCATTGTCATTGTGAGCATGCCAGCATGTTGCAGGCCTTTGTTTCATTTGAAAAATCTAATTCATATCACCTCCATTACATTGGGATGGAGGCAAAAAACCATCTCAAAGGACAAATCCAACCAAAATCTGCATGGATGGATGCCAGTAGTAAATAAGAAAATATGTTGTGTAACTTGGGCAAACTAATCTTTTAATAAACAGAACCTATTTTCTCTTTATTTTAAAAACTTGCTCTGGGATAACCATTTTTCCATTCCTGCCCCAAAGGACCCACAGCTGCAGCATGAGCGGTGCAAACACCTACCCACGCGTTATTAAGCTTGTCAATCAGCTGCCAATCCACTGCAACCCTCAGATCCAGTCAGTCAGCCAGCCGGGCAGGCCGGCAGTCAGTCGGCTGGGCCAGACGAGGGAACAGCTGGCCGCCACTTTCAACTCACTGAGGCTACCTGGCTTGGCATCAACTGCTAGCAACAGACATATCTCTGCCAAATGCTGCATGTGGCAGGACGGGTGGACAGGCTGTACCCAGAGAGTGAGGTGAAGGAAGGGATAGGACACGCAAACTGCAGCTACAAGAGGTCAGCTTCGGCAAACCCTTGGCTGAGTGTCCTTAAAAGCCTTGCAATCCATCTTTCCATCACTCTGGAGCCTGAGGGATGACGGTAGAAAGGTTTAATGGCACTAATAAGGCCCGGGGAGACAGGTGACATCATTCTGTAGGTCGACTGGCGACACAGCCACCCAAAAAGGAGTGGAAGAGGGGCAGAATTATTCCACTGACATTATTCCAATCTGAATTTAACTGTCAAGTACTCAGGGAGACGGGGGGCCAACTGACTGTAATAATATTCAAAGCAGTCACTGATGTAGCCTGTGTGTGTGTGAGCTTAATATGTGTGCTTGTAAGTGTCAGTGAGAGTGTGCATGCATACATAGTATGATTGACTGAAAGGGAGAGAGTTATCAAGCCATCCTCTCTATGTAATTTCGGCCTCTCTGGTTTCCTCATCATCAGCCAATGTCAGCGTCACCATCAGGTAGAAGAGCAGTGATCACTGGGCCGGGCGGAGGTGAAAGCAATCAATAGCTAACTTCAGGGGTGCAGGCAGGAAGAGCCATCATAGAGCTCATCATCAGGCTGCACGCATATAGCCCTCTGGGACATTGCATATGATGTGGGGCTCATTGACATGGACCCGGCGCAGTCAGTCTATCTGTCAAAGCTCCTTGATCTAGCACTGCGTTAGGCCTTTATATGATGCTATATATTATCTGTTTTAAGACATTTACTGTGGCAATTGAGGTTAAGCACAAGGGCTGAAAGGTGAAAACCATTGGCAAGCGTCCTGCAGGGTAAACCCCCGACAAGGATCTCCTAATTCCTACCATGTCCCCACTTTTGACTCCATCCTGCTACAGAGCGATACGGCTCCTGTGATGACAGCTATTAGGACTGCGGGGAGGACAAAACAGTAAAGAGAGCTTGATTTAAGTACTCACAGTTTTTCCAGGGCAGCCAAGCCATAGAAGGAGCCGTTCCTCAGCAGGGAGATCTTGTTGTTACTCAGGTTTCTGTTTAGGGGCAAAAGATATGAGGGAGAAAAAGACGAGGTGAGCATACAGAACGAGTGAAAGAGGTACATTTGTAAATCTCACAAAAATAAAGCTGCAGGAAATTATTCAAATGGCTGATAAATTGTTTATCCTCTGACTGTCAATATGTTGGCAAGAGATAAGGATTTATGTCTGATGAGATTGCGGCAGTAAATTGCTCATCCCGGCCACGTCTCTGTCTTGTTTATGGCTGTTTGTGGTTAAGATGGGTAATGATCCAACCCACCCCGTGCTCCACTCCTCCATGTCAAAATATCGGCCTAATAGAAAAGCTTAAAGAAACGCCGGTTCAGCACAATTCAATCATCCACTGCTCACATAACAACAGCAGACAAATCAATGAAACGCACCACAGGGATCTTTAAGTGATGAATTAATATTCAGCGGCGACGCACTGCCTCAGCTTGGATTATTTCACTGACAGTCGTCACTATGTCTTTCTTTTTTTTTTTAACAAATTATGTCAGCGAAATGAGAAACTATATGTTCTTCAAGTGATGCATTTGTCTGGCAAGAAGAGAAAAGTCATGCTTGGACAGGACTTCCACACACACACACACAACATCTTGTCACATTATTCAACACACTGGGCCTTAGGACTTTAAAACGCCAGAGTGAATACACAGACAAGAATACAATCACATAAACACACACCTATACTGATATTACTGTACCTGTGAGGTCTTTCTGTTGATAGTTTTGATTCCCTAAGCCCTAATACCTTAAAGGGGCAGTCCAACCTAAAATCAAAACTACATATTTTATATCTTACCTGTATTGATATTTATCCATCTAGATTGAGTTGGTGAGAGTTGCAGAGTTTTGGAGCTATCAGCCTTCTCTTCAATATAATGGAACCAGATGGCACTCATCTTGTGGTGCTCAAAGCAGAAAAAAAATCAACAAAGCTTGTTGTGAACAGTTTCATTTAAGAACTGTTTTCTTTCTACGCATCACCGCACAGAAGGAAGCGTGCATCTATTCATGGACGAGAGGCTTGTGCTCGCAGGTTGTAAATATTAATGCCGTTCTATGAGGCTGAGCTGTAATGTTAGCTAGCTCCCCTAGCACCAGATAGCGGTCAGCTATGGTTGCCAGGTGTAGTTCGGTAGAGACATTTTTTTTCTTGGATGAAACTACTGGAGTAATTGGGTCATGATTATTGAAAAGAAACACGGCTGTTGAGTTTTTCAAATGTATTTTTCACAATTTGAGCACCACAAGCTGAGGGCCATCTGGTTCCATTATATTTGAAAAAGACATTTCTACAGTTGGTATTTCCAAAACTCAACAACTCACAGCCAAACAATCTAGATGGATAAATTGGTAAACTAACAGGTAAGAGGAACAATATGTATTTTTGATTTGAGGGTGAACTGTCCCTTTAATCTCCAGTAATTTACACTCAACTTTAACCTTTAACCTAACCTAAATCTTGTAGAATGACAAAATGTTATCTCAAAAGTGTACAACACTAAATCCCACAGTGACTTGTTAGACCACATAAGGCCTGTGTTACCTGCTGCTAGAGTGCAAGAGACATTTCTGACAGGGGATCCAAGTCTCACTCGCCAGCTACATAACTTCCCCTATGTTGCCCCCAGTCTAAACCTGCACACTAAGACATAAGCACCTTAGAGCCAGTTACTGCTGGAAACACATTGATACAACAGGACAGTACAGGTAGTGCAGTACACCACATGAGGATTAAAAAACTGCTTTGTGTGGGTATAAGCCAGGGAAGCTGGGTTCGTATAAATCTTTTCAAAAAAATTTAAATACTTAAGGCATATAATAAATACGCTAAAATGAAACCAAATGGAAAAAAAAAGCAGCTTCAGTGTAGTCATAAATTACCCAAAGTTTAAAGGCCACTGCATATACTGTCTAAATCTGCCTCTCATTATGGGTGATGGGGTCCTCCATGAGCACAATATTTGTTATATTTATTTTAGTTAGACAAGTTTAATTTAAGAGATTTCTATCTGAGCGGGGACTTTTTTCTGAGATCTTCTCACTGGT